AGCCGTGGTGACACATGCCTTTAATGCCAGCACTTGGGAGGCAGAGGCAGGTGGATCTCTGTGAGATTGAGGCCAACCTGGTCTACATAGGCCAGCTGGAGCTTTAGGGAGATCCTGTCTCAAAATGACAAAATAATAGTAATAATAGTAATAAATACTGTCAGAGCTAGAATCCACAGAAACTTGTGACTGATTGTTTTCAGAAAAGAAGAGGAGGGGTCGAGAATGAATCTACTTGGCTGGTGAGCCAAGATCCACCCTCCAGAGGGAAGAGCAGGCAGGGCGGAGGAAGGGGAGCTGCAGGGGCAGGTTGCAGAGAATGGATCAGTTTGAGATCTCCTGATTGCAGATTTTTTGGGAGGCCTTCAGGAGCCCAGTTCTGCTTCCGAAGGCTGCAGTGAGGACGCACAGTGGACAAGTTCATACTGCATACCTGGTGAGCCGTGGGCACCTTAGGAAGGGGTGCAGGCTCCCAGGGTGCTCAGCAGCATGGGGAGACAGGCGCCAAGCAGGGATCGTGGTGACACCAGTATTTAAGGAGAGGTGCTGAGCCAATAGTCTAAGGGTCTGGGATGAGCAAGGGGAGCCAAGGAAGTTGAGGAGCTGGAGGGGTCAGAGAGCAGAAGCCTGCTGTGACCATCTGCAAAATGGGGAGGTGGAGGAAGGGTCAAGGGTCACGCAGAAGCAGCATGAGAAGGGTGGTCCTTGCTAGGACTAGAGCGGTGCGGATTTATTATTCATGTGTTGTTTTTGAGGTGGGGTCTCACTGTGTGGCCTTGGCTGGCCTAGAACTCACTGTGTAGACAAAGCTGGCCTTGAACTTGCTGTGATCCACTTGTCTTGGCCTCCTGAGTGCTGGGGTTATAGGCATGTACCACCATACTTGGCTAAATGAATTTTATTTTCTAGTTTTTTGAGACAGGATCTCACTTTGTAATCCAGGCTGGCTTTAAAGAGGAGGCCACAGGCCTCTGTGACGGGAGGGAGGGAGGAAAGCCCTGGCCCTCACGGTCTTCATCAAGGAAGCTCACAGTCAAGGCCACTGCAGGTGGTAGAGGCAGAGGAATCTTACAAATGCTTTTCCTGTTCCCAGCAGCTCCCGCTCCCTTAAACTCAGCTTCGGGACCAGAGTTGGGAGGAAGATCACTGTGGGTGTGGTGGGTTCCACACGTCACCCAGTGTCTGTTAGTGACTAAGATCTGTTGAGCACTGATTCTAAATGAGGGTCTTCCTTCATCTCAGGGACGCTCACAGCCAAACAGAAAAGCGGAGGCGGGATAAGATGAACCACTTGATCAAGGAGCTGTCGGCCATGATCCCTCAGCATGGCCCTGCGGCCCGAAAACTGGACAAGCTCAGCGTCCTGAGAAGAGCAGTGCGGCACTTGAGGTCTTTGAGAGGTGAGAGGGGAGACGTCGCCTGGGACCAGCGGTCTCCTTTGCGCCATAGTTGGTGCTGGCTGTGGGGAGTCCACACAGTGTGTCCTCCTCCCTTACCAACATCAGTGTTGGGGTGTGCCCCTTGTCTGTGTGTTAGACGCTGGCTGTGGGGAGTCCACACAGTGTGTCCTCCCTTACCAACATCAGTGTTGGGGTGTGCCCCTTGTCTGTGTGTTAGAAGATAAGGAGTCGAACGCCCAAAAGCTTGGGTCTAGCTGGGTATAGTGGTGTATGTCTGTTAATCCCAGCACTCAGGAGGTGGAGGAGGAGAATCAGGAGCTCAGGATCATCCTTGGCTGCACAGCCAGTTTAAGTCCAGTCTCATAACAAGAAAACAATAATTTAAAAAGGAGTGAGCAATGGCCAACTCGTGATCTCAGTTTAGATCTGCTCTACTTGTAAGCCAGGCACAGAACAAGGGTTTCAGGGAAGGGAAAATTGCCTGGGCCTCCTGCAGCCACTTTGCCAGGTGCTTGGGATATGTGGAGAGAGCTGTGCTGCTGGGGCTGTGCAGTTTTCTTTTCAGAGTGTGTTTGGGGAATCTGTTGAGAAATGATTCTCTCTTACCCATTCCTGGCACTTGCATAAGTTGCTTCCAGTATTTCAGTCTTCAGCAGTGAAAACTTTCAGGCTCTACCAAGGTCATTTGATTTCAGCCCTAGGATTGCCCAAGTACCTTTACATCAGTGGTGTCCCAGGAGAGGAAGGACAAGCATGTGTCCCTCAGCTAATTCAACACATGTGAATTGAGCATCAGAGCTGTATGCCTGTTCTGGGGGGAGAGGGGGGGTGTGGAGAGAGAGAGAGAGAGAGAGAGAGAGAGATCTGCCTTCGGGGGTGATGAGATGTCTGTGGTCTGACAAGGGGGTCAGATCCACAGTTTAATGATCTCATTAAAACTTAGTGTGGGGCTGGTGAGATAGCTCATCAGGTAAAGACACATACTGCTAAGCCTGACAACCCGAGTTCAGTCCCTGGGACCCACGTGGTGGAAGGCGAGAACTGCCCACAAGATGTTCTTTGAACTCCGTGGCAGACACACAATGCACGCACGCACACAAACACACACACACACACACACACACACACACAAATAAATCTTTAAAAAAATTAACCTAGTATACAAGTGTCCCAGCAGAGGTGTTAGGGGTTGTGATTCAAGAGGGAGACACTGTCCAAATGCACAGGGCATTCCTTGGAGCAGATGTAGACCTCACCGTGGGCCCTTCTCAGCAGTGATGTGCTGACATGCTTGTCCATACAGCCTGACCAGGCCTGAGTCAGCACCACCCCCTTGATGAAATAGCTTAAGACACTTGGCCTATGCTCCACCCCAATTTACTCAGCAGAAGCTTTGACAGTGACCACCAATGGCGTGTGGACTGTGCTGTTCTGCCCACAGCAGAGTGACTGTAAAGATGACAGAATATGCCCCCACCCCACTGCTCTAGCAGTTGTTTTCAAACTAAGTGGGTCAAGAAGACGTGGACCCCAGTCCCCTGCTCCACACTCAGTGTAAAACACATCTTACTGCTGGAAACATGATCAAGGGCTTGAAGGCACGAAAATACATATATTTCCATAAATGTTTGGAATGTGACTTTGTCTGTTTTATGGGTTTTTAAAAATATTTTATGTGTATGAGTGTATTTCCTGCATGTATGTAAGTGCACCCGTGTCATGCAGTGCCCATGGAGGCCAGAAGAGGACATCGGATTCCCCTGGAGCTAGAGTTCTGGACAGTTGTTAGCCGCCATGTAGGTGCTGGGATCAAATCTGGGTCCTCTGCAAGAGCACCCAGAACTCTAGCCGCTGAGCCTTCCCTCCAGCCCTGTATTCGTGTTTTTGAGAGAGGGTTTCATGTATCCCAGGCTGGTCTTCAACTCCACATGTAGCGGGGCTAGCCTTGAACCCCTGCTTCTCCTGTCTTTGCCTCCTAAGAGCTGGGGTCACAAGCATGCACCCCTCACACCAAGCTCTAAATGCCTTTTCCAAGCATGTGTTTGGCCAGCCTCCCTCAGAGCTTTACACGGACCGCACAGCCCTGGTTTCCTCCTTAGCGTGTCTCCCTCCCTCACCTGGTAAGGGCCCCATCCTGGGAACCTTAGCTCTTCTGCATGTGTGTTCTGCCAGCCTTACTTCAGGCCCCACATGGACGTGTCCCACCTCACTCCACTGCTCAGGCCCTGGCCTGGCCCTAGGGCCACGTCCTCATCCCTCCTCAGCTCCCCGGCTTCAGTCCCCCAGGCTGCTGGGTCTTACTAACCAGGGGAATCCATTATGGGAGATTCTGGAAGCCCAGGACACAGGAAGATTTACACCAAGGAGTGTTCATCTTCTTATGCCAGACTCTTAGTACCTCGGTTCAGTTCCCAGCACCCACATGGTGGCTAGCAGCCATCTGTAACTCCAGTTCCATCTTTCTTCCTCTCTGTTAGCTCCATCTTGCCTGCAGGCTCGAGAGGAGCTCAGAAGGTAGAATCCATCTGCCATAAGCTATCTGTTTTAATGTTCCTGGTTTTCACTGGGCTTTCCACTGTCCTCAGCAGGCATTATACTTAGCTGTTCTCTAAAGTAGGATGCAAAATGCTCCCAGACCTTGTCCTTTTGTGTTAAAGCTCTGTCCTAAAAGGAATTGGCAGCTGGTTTTACCCTATAGTACTGGCCTTCCACAGTTTCCTTCTTATGGAATTCCCAGGACAAGGGGGGTATTCAGGGCCTTGCTCATCAGATGGTTGGCCTCAGAAGTAATAAGTAAGATGTTTAGGGACTGGGACTATAGCTGAGTTGATAGAGTGCTTGCCTAGCATGGATGGAGTCCTGGGTTTAGGTCCCAGCATCCTCAGGATTCTGGCATGGTGGCACTTGTCTGTAATTTCAGCATTTGACAGATAGAGGCAGAAGGATCAAAAGTTGAAGGTCATCCTTAGATATATAGCCAATTCAAGGTCAGCTTGGGGAGACCCTGCCTAGAAGGAAAGAAGGAGCAAAGGGAGGAAGGGAGGAAGGGAGGAAGGAAGGAGGGAAGGAGGGAAGGGGGAAGGAAATAAGGAAAGAAGAGAGAATAGTTACAAAAGTTTCACAACATGGTAAAATACCGTCACTGGTAACAGCAGCAACATGACTGATGTTCACTGAACATTTACTGTGTTTCTCTGTATATATTTTCAGTAACTTTTGGCCTGTTTGTTTTTAGGCACAACAGATTCTTACTTTGGAGGTAATTATAGACCTTCGTTTATTCAGGATAACGAGCTCAGACACTTAATCCTTAAGGTGAGTGGAGTTGTGCTCGTGTTTGGGTGGAAGGCAGATTTTCTTGCGTTTCCTTCTGTCGTAAACACTCATGACTGTGCGTTTCACACTCCTGAATGGAGGCACTGAAGATAGAAAATGATTTACTAGTTTTGGTTAACAAAAGCCTCTCAAGATGGAGGATGGACCCTTCCCAAGAGGAGGAGCAAAGTGCATCTCCATGGCCGACGCCTCACACCATTGGACCACTCCTTTCCCACGGGGTGATCAGACACTGTCACAGGCTCTTCAGAGCCACCCACCTGGTGTCCAGGCAGTCGGTCAGGAGCCTGCGGTCTGAAAACAAGGCATGAGTCATCAGGATGCTCTGGGGTCCTGCACCACCGTTGGACCACTCCTTTCCCACGGGGTCATCAGACACTGTCACAGGCTCTTCAGAGCCACCCACCTGGTGTCCAGGCGGTCGGTCAGGAGCCTGAGGTCTGAAAACAAGGCATGAGTCATCAGGATGCTCTGGGGTCCTGCACCACCTCCCTCACAGCTGAGGCTTTGCAGACTCACTAGTGTGAAAATACCACTTTTGATTGACTGTCCTGTTGGGTTCTGTGATATGCACTTTACGTTGTATTCTTAGTGACTAGAATTGATTTGCTATTGTTTTTTGAGTTTTTTTAAGTAACTCCAGCTGACTTAGCACTGACTCTGTAGACCAAGCTGGCCTCCATCTCACAGACACCCATCTGCCCGCCTCTGCCTCCTGAGTGCTGGGATTAAAGGTGTACCCCACCATACCCAGCTGAACAGCTAATTTTTAAATTGAGTTTTTGATAGAAATGAAAAGGAAATTTTGTTGATACAAAACTGTCTTTAAGTTGGAAAATCAATTAGACAGTGAAACCCAAATTCCCTCTGGGTCTCCTGCGTGATCAGACAAACCATATAATATATTTTATGTGAGTTTATTAACTTACAAAGGAATGAGTACCCAGTGCCTAGCCCTGTGCCACGACTCAGAGCCCGCCTCATCAGACTGTGCTATGCCCATAGTGACCGCTAGCATTCGCTCATGCCTCTGGGGCCAGTGATCACCACAGGTCCACAAGAGTCGATCCATTCTGTCCTTCAGCTGCTGAGTGGCTGGCTGCATGTCCCCACACTACGCATGCTACCCATGGCTCATGGCTTCCGTCCCAAAATGGCTCCCAGCAGCCTTTGTAGTCCACGCTCTGCGTCAGGCCCTGCCCACTGGAGGAACTAGCCAGTAGGGAGACAGACAGCATGCTGTTGAAGCTTATTCAACAATCACTGTTTTCCTCATTTATCACTTCCCATCATCCTGGCTCTGCCCCCCAGCACAGGTCTGCCCAACTCTGCTCCTGTTTGATGTACAAATGAGTCAGAGAGAACCAGGGTTGTAGTCAGTTGGTAGGTCAGTTGCACAAAGCCGTGGGTTCAAATGTCAGTTCTGCACAAACCAGGTGTGATGGTGAAGGTATCTGGAATCCTAGCACTTGGGAGATGGAGGCAGGAGGATCCAGAGTTCAAAACCATCCTAGTAAGTTTGAGTCCACCCCTCGCTTAGCAGGGCCATAGGCAGTTGCTGCCGGTCATGAGTTCTGAGGTCTTTACAGGGCTTTTCTGTACAGCATGGTGGACTCTGGTCAGGGTGATTTTATTTTTAATTATTTTTTTTGCTTTATTTTTATTTTATGTGTATACGTGTATTGTGTGCATGTATGCAAGTGCATCCATGTGTGATGCACACGGAGGACAGAAGAGGCTGTTGGATCCCCTGGAACTGGAGTTACAGACGGCTGTTAGCTGCCATGTGGGTGCTGGGATTCAAACCTGGGTCCTCTGCAAGAACAACCAGTGGGTCTTAACCACTGAGCCATCTCTCCAGTCTCTCCACTGTCCAAATTTATCTTATGGGTGATTTTATTTTAAAATGTTAGTGTACAAAGTGACAGGCTTCATTGTGACATTCTCATGTACATAGCATCACGCCTTGCTGTCATTTAGTCCCCCACCCTGCACTGCCCCCTCCTGCTAGTCCTTCCCTCCCCCATGCCTACTTTATTTCCATGTCACCTGCCCTCCATTACCCTCTCCTCCTCCCCTCTTCAGACCTCTTCCTCTAGTTTCATGACCTACACACATCTGTAAAAGTGGTTTTATAGCAGGAGGTAGCCCAACTAAATATTCTATAGCTAAATTTTTCATGTCAAAAACTTTAGACTGAGGGCTAGAGTGATGGCCAGATGTTAAGAGCACTGGCTGCTTGTACAGAGGACCCAGGTTCGATTCCCAGCACCCACATGGTGCTAACAACCCTCCATAACTCCAGTTCCAGGGGATCCGACGCCCTCTTCTGACCTCTGCAGCCACTGCATGACATGGGTACACTTAGGGACATGCAGGCAGTACACTCATAACACATAAAATAAAAAATAATAGGGGCTGGAGGGGTGGCTCAGCGGTTAAGAACACTGACTGTTCTTGCAGAAGACCCAGTTTCGAATCCCAGCACCCACATGGCAGCTAACAACTGCCCTTAACTCCAGTTCCAGGGGATCCAACAGTCTCATCTGTCCTCCGCTGGCACTGTACGATATGGGTGCACTTACCTACATGCAGGCAATACACGCATACACATAAAATAAAAATAATAAGTAAATTATTTAAAAATAATATATTTAAAAAAACACTTTAGACTGGAATTCAATTTGGCAATCTTTTTTAAAATGTGGATGCTGGGAACTGAACTGGGTCCTCTGCAAGAGCAACCAGAGCTCTTAACCACTGAGTCATCTCTCCAGCCCCCTCAATTTGACGTTCTTTAGACATCTTTTACATATAACAACATTTTATTTATTTTATTTTTTTATTTTCCAGGTCAGCCCTGACTGACCTGGAACTTGCTCTGTAGATCAGGCTGGCCTCCAACTCACAGAGATCCATTTGCCTCTGCCTCCCAAGTGCTGGGATTAAAGGCATGCGCCACCACGCCCCGCCTACATCTTACAACATTTTAAAATTAATTTTACCATCTCTTTAACTGCTCTCTGAGTAATTTCCTCAAAAGCTGAAGAACAAGAGAAATAAGATCCTTTGAATGACTGGCTTTTGTTCTTTTACACCCTAGACCGCAGAAGGCTTCCTGTTTGTGGTTGGATGTGAGAGAGGAAGGATTCTCTTTGTGTCCAAGTCCATCTCCAAAGCGCTTCCTTATGATCAGGTACCCAAAACTGAGAGTGCTGTCCACACAGGGCTGAATTTTTAAAAACAAATTCCCACCTTGAAGCTGTGTTTCTGATCTCTTTCTTCCCTTTGAGATGTGGGGAGTGTCTGCTAAGTAGAGCTTAGAGCGTGAGCGATGGCAGACAGTGGGGAGAGTTTCTGTGTCCGACATCGGTGCTCCCTTCCTGACGTTCTTTTCCTAGCCCCAGTTTCGTCTTCTGTCAGAAGTGAAGATGACCTGTTGTCAGGATGTCAGGACTGAATAAGACGCCATGCCTGAGTGTCTGAAAAGTGCCAGTCACCCCTCTCCACCCTCAGGAGCCTCATCGTGCTCATTCTTAAGCTGTACACGTTGCATAATAGCTTTTGATCCAACCTCCAGCCACAAACTCAAAGAAGCATCATTCCTGTAACCATCCTGCTGACTTCCTCCATGCGGAACACCGCTTGCTTTGAGCTGGCCCTTCGGAACCTAGCTCTGAAACCAACGCAGCGGGGCCCAGGCAGAGCACAGCTTTGATGGGGAATAACTGCTACCTGCTGGTTTCATGTTTGGGAGTTAGCAGGCCTTCAAATAACAGGAAAGGAAGTTGAGCCTCTGTGTGGCAGGCTTGAGGGAGCAGAGGACGTGGCAGTGTCTGACCAGATGACCCGTCTTCTAATTGAGAACACCACAAACACACACATGCACACATATACACATATACACATGCACACATAGAGGAACACACACATATGCTCACAGATGCACACATACAGAGATAACCAACAACAAAAGATATCCTTAAGGTCTAAATTAGTGACATGGGGTCCAGATCTACTGGGTACTGACTTCATTTCTGAAGCCATTTACGACATGCCTTGCTTGCTCAGAAGGATGTTATGTCTAGTGCTCAGCTTTTCAGATTCAGAAACCGGATGCTCAAAGTACACAGAGTTCAGACACGGATGTCTTCTAACCAAACACCACAGACTGACACGTGAGTCAGATCACTGTGTTTCTAGCATGAGCGGTCTAACTGCTGACACCAGTTAGTCCACCTGTTCTGTCTCTTGTAGAATGTGTCCTGGGGTTACAGAGGCCTCCTGGGAGAGGTTGGGCTTCATGTGGGAAGTGCAATGTCTGTAGGCCCACAAGGGGGACGTGAAGATGATCAGAGGAGAAGAACTTCAGGCTGGGAGTCACACGGAGCCTAGGTGGAGTGGTCACAGCCGAGTGGTCACAGCCGCAGACCTGAGCTAAGACAGTGTGAGGTGGTGGTTGCCTGAGATCCCAGCACTCAGGAGCCTGAGGCAGAAGGATCCTGAGTATGAGGTCAGCCTAGGCTACATAGACCCAAACAAAACAATAGCAGTGAAAAACAAAAACAGGAGAAGGAAGGGAGGGAAGAGGAAAATAAACCACGGTGAATGTAGACAAAAGGGAGATGAATTTTAGATGCAGAGACTTTGAGGGAAGCCTGGGGTAGGATTACCTCATGTTGGGAGTCTTGGACTGGGAAGTGGGAAGGATGCTAGGCTGGTATGTTTTCAATAGTGCTGAGTCAAAACATGACAGATATGATGAAACTTCATTTCCTGCTATGATGTCATCTCTTCCCTTGTGCCAAAGAAGATAAACTTTGTGGGGCTGGAGAGATGGTTCAGTCAATAAAGCGTATAAGCATGAAGACCTGAGTTTGGATCCCCAGCACCCGTGTAGCTGCATGCAGCAGCATGTGTCTATAATCCTAGCGCTAGGGAGGCGGAGACAGGAGGATCCTGGGAGCCACTGGACGGCCAGTCTGACCTAGTGGTTTGCTCATTGAGAGAGAGAGAGAGAGACCAACATTGACCTCTGGCCTACACACGCACAAGAACACATATACATACACAAAGGACAGTGAAGTTTGACTGCAAATGGCTTGGAAATAATCTGTGAATTGAAGGATATTAAGAACAATAGCAAAATTTAAAAGAACATTAACAAATTGGTGTTTGTATATTATAGATATACATATATAGTTATATTTTTGAGCTATATATTTTAGCTATATACATATACACATATATGTATGTATATATAGACATATGTATATATATATAGTTATATAGTTATATAGTTACATTTTTGAGCTTAAGAAAAATCTACCCTTGGCAGCTGGGGATGTGACTCAGTGGGTGGGTGCTTGTCTAGCACCCACAAGGTCCTGGGTTTGAGTCTCAGTACTGAAGAAACAATGAACCTTTAACAGGGAAAGAGTATATATCACATATACAAATGATGGTGTTGACTAAATGTGTATTTGCCTTCTAAACAGGCCAGCCTGACGGGGCAGAACTTGTTTGATTTCTTACATCCGAAAGATGTTGCCAAAGTGAAGGAACAACTTTCATGCGATGTTTCGCCAAGAGAGAAGCTTGGAGACACCAAAAGTCAGTTCGCATCTCAGCGTGCTCACCTGTCTATCAGTTACCTTTCTGTTGCCATGATAACGTGCTACTGCCGAAAGCAACCCAGGGAAGAAGGGTTTATTTTAGCCCTTCTGGAAGGACAGAGGCCACAGTGGGGGTAGGCGTGGCATGGTAGTGACAGCAGAGGTAACTGATCACGTTTGCACCTACACACAGGAAACACAGAACAGGAAGTTAGGTGAGGCTATAAGCCCTCAAAGCCCACCCCCAGTGACATACGTCCTCTATCAAGGCTTCCCTTCTAATAGTTCTATAACCTACCCGACAGCCCAACCAGCTGGGGCCCGTGTGTTCAGATACATGAGCTCATTAGAGACGTTTCTCATTAAGGACAGCAGTCTGCAAATGTAATTACTGCCTAGAAGTACAGCTAGGCAATATTTTAGTGCAGGTCTGGGTTTTAAACCCAGTGCCTCATGCATGCTACGGAAGAGCTCTACCACGGAGCCGTAACTCTGTCCTATACAGTGTTTAAAGCAGCTAATAAAGTTTTTAAAAAATATTTTATTATTTTTATGTGTGAGTGTATTGTATCGTGTGTAAGTGCACCCGTGTCATGCAATGCCTGTGGAGGTCAGAAGAGGGCATTGGCTCCCCTGGAACTGCAGTTATGGATGGTTGTTAGCTGCCGTTAGCTGCCTAGTGGGTGCTGGGAACTGAACCCGGGTCCTCTGCAAGAGCAGTCAATGCTCTTAACCGCTGAGCTGTCTCTCCAACCCCACAGCTAATGAGGTTTTATCAAGAGAATTATTTAGTAAATTTTTCATTTGTCAACCTCCTCAGATTTCAAACATTTAGCCATGTGGAGACTTTCACTCACGCAGACATATAAAATAAATGGAATCACAAAAGATGGCTTCTGTGGGAAAACACTGTTGCTTAGATTTCTTGTTTTATTTTTAAGTGTGTGTATGCGTGTATTGCCTGCACGTATGCTAGTACACCTGTGTTGTGCAATGCCCAAGGAGGTCAGAAGATGGCATTGGATCCCCTGGAACTGGAGTCACTGACAGTTAGCTGCCACATGGGTGCTGAGATTCAAACCCGGGTCTTCTGCAAGAGCAGCCAGTGCTCCTAACCCCTGAGCCACAAAACAGCCCTTTGCTTATATTTTTCAAATGTAAATAAAATTTTTATGAAAAGTATTGAGATTTAAAAGTTGTTGTGGGGGTAGAGAAATGGCTGAGCAGTTAGGAGCACTGGCTGCTCTCCAGCGGACCAGAGTTGAGTTCCCAACACCCACAAGGGTCAGCTCACAACCACCTTTAACTCCAGCTCCAGGGGATCTGACACCTTCTTCTGGCCTCCTTAGGCACCTGCATGCAGGTAGCATACACACAGACAGATAGCTACAAAAATTAAAATGTCATTTTTTAAAAAGAGAGAAAGGAAAGAAAGCTTTAGGGGGCAAATTTTAAGAGTGTGTGAAAATATGCTTCTCCTGTGCTCTTTCCTCCTGCTGTGAAGCTGGTCTGCGTGTTCACAGCCACACAGGAAGACCGCCTGTGCATTCGGGCTCCAGACGGTCATTCTTCTTCAGAATGAAGAGCTGTAAAATCTCCATCAAAGAAGAGCAGGGATGCTCACCCAGCACTAGAAAGAACGGTAGGCCTCTGGGACACGCCCAGTGACTTACAGTCGTGGTGTAAATGCAATGTCCTAAGTCGTTTCTACACAAGAAATCGTAAAATCTGCAGTAAGGCAAATAAATTGGGGCCCAACGTATCTAAGTAAGATTGCTTCTAAACAGAATTGCTCATTTGGGCTTAACATCAGGTACGTGTTTTGTTGACCAAGATTTCCATGGTGGTGTAGAAATTGTAGTTGGGGGGCTCTGAGACGGAAATGATGGCAAAGTACCATTTTTTTCTATAAAACGCCATCATTTAAAAAAATTATTTTTATGTGTGTGTTTTAGCTGCATGTATATAAGTGCACTTGTGTCATGCAATGCCCACGGAAGCCAGAAGAGGGTGTCATATCCCCTGGAATAGGAGTTATGGATGGCTGTGAGCCACCATGTGGGTGCTGGGAACTAAAGCCAGGTCCTCTGCAAGAGCAGCCAGTGCTCTTAACCTCTGAGCTCCATCATTACTTTTTAAAATATAAGCGTTAGAGCGCCAACCAGGAGTGGTTTATTCCCAGCACTTGGGAGCCAGAGGCAGGTGGATCTCTGTAAGTTCGAGACCAGCCTGGTCAACGTAGTGAATTCCAGGCCAGCTGGGGCTACACAGTAACACTCTGTCTCAAAAAAAAACAAAAAACAACAAGAAAAGATCTCTTTGTTAACATCTCAGTAGCTCAAGAGCCCTAATGTGATGAATTCTGGTGAAATTTCACCAAATGTTTTAGGTGTGGCTTTAGTTCTGACTCTTTCATAGGTTTTAGTGTGTTTTCTTGTGAATCTTTCTTCGGTGGGTGGTTTGGCAGATACTTTTCAAACTGATTAAACTTTCATCTATTTAACTTAGTGGGAGAATTTTAGAGACTAAAAAGTATCCCATAATGTTTTGGGGTGTAAGAACATAAAAGTTCAATAGAATTCCTTATAAAAGTTTTAAATTTTGGGGGAGGCTCAAGGATAATTTTATTAGCAGTTAAAAGAAAAACTCCTAGGGCAGGCAAGCTGTAGGTCTCAGCAGCTGCCTGGAGGACGCAGAGAACGGTGGGGAAGGAAAAAAGCCAGCATGGTGGCCCACGCCTTTAATCCCAGCACTTGGGAGGCAGAGGCAGGCGCATCTCTATGAGTTCAAGGCCAGCCTGGTCTACATAGTGAGTTCCAGGACAGCTGGGGCTACATGGAGACCCTGTCTCAAAAAGACAGAAAAAAAAAAAAAGGCCAGTTGTTTGAATTACTGGCCTGGAGGTCAGACCTCTGCTCATGGCGGCAGACAGCCACATGGAGGGGAGGGGCTTTAGGGAAAGAGGAAGGAAGCCCAAAGTAGACTTGTTTGTTTCCTTTTGAGACAAGATCTTGGTATGTAGTCCAGGCTAGCCTAGAGCTTATAATGCTCCATTGTCCTGCCTCAGCTTCCAGAGTACTGGGAGTAGAGGGGTGGACCGCCTCACCCGGCTTAAAGGGATATTTATATGGTGCTGCGTGATTACAAACTTACATGTTGATCCCAATCTGTTTTACAACCACCAAAGAAGACAATCACTCAAATCCATGTATTAAGCGTCGACCCTGTACCTCATCTGGAGCTGAGTGTTTTAGCCTTCCTGAAAACATTCTTCTAAGCTCTAAGAATCAAGGGGAAGACACTTGGAGGGGTTGAACAACTTGAAGAAATTCAAATAGACAAAAGTCACCCTCAAACCTGTCTTGCCCACAGTGCAAACAGACTGAAACAAGTATGTGTGACCCCCCAGTCACCTCTCTGCTGCCCTTGGCTCTGTGTGGCCAGGGCTGTTCCTAGAGGCAACTGTTTTAGCTTCAGGTAGACCAATTATTTCTTGTTTCCTCATTCGAGGGAGAACGCATGATACTCATCTTTCTAGGTCTGACTTATTTCATGTCACATAATACCCTCTGTTCTTGGAATGGGGCTCCATTTCTCCACTGTGTTTGCAAACCATTTTCCCCCTTTACCTGTTCATCTGTTGATGGGCAGCTTATCCAATTCCGCATCTTAGCTAGTATGACACAGACACGCCGGGATCTCTGCTGTGTGTTGACTTTGTTTCCTCTGACATGTCTGGAAGTGGAGTGGCCGAGGAACTTCACACTGTTTCCACTGTAGCTGCAACAACGACCCTCCCCACTGCCGTCTGTATGAACCCCTTTTTCTCCACGGCCTCCCCAACATTTGTTATTCGTCCTTTTGATGATAGTTCTTCTAACTGGGGTGCGATGGAATCTCTCTGTAGCTTTGATCTGCGTTGCTCTGATGGTTAGTGATACTGAGTGTAGTTTAGTATTGTATCAGTCACTTTTCTGTTGCTGTGATAGAAACACTGACACAAGCAATTTATAGAAGGAAGAGTTTATTTGAGCTCACAGTTCCAGGGGAATTACAGTCCGTCATGGCAGGGAGGCATGGTGGCTGGAGGTGGCTGGAGCAGGAGCAGCAGAAGCTGAGCTCTCACATCATCACACAGGCACAGAAAGCATGAGGCTAGAGATCTGACAAGGCTTAAGAACTCTCTAAGCCGACCCCCAGTGACGTGCTTCCTCCAGGAAAGCCACATTTTCTAAAACTTCCCAAAACAGTGCCATCATCTGGGGACAAAATGTCCAAATACTTGGAGCCTATGGGAAACACTTTCATTCAAACGACCACAAGAATATTTATTGGCCATTTGTAATTCTTCTTTTGAGAAGAGACTCTTTTTTTTTGTCTTTTTGAGACAGGGTCTCCCTGTAGCCCCAGCTGTCCTGGAACTCACTATGTAGACCAGGCTGGCCTTGAACTCACAGAGATCCGCCTGCCTCTGCCTCCCAAGTGCTGGGACTAAAGGTGTGTGCCACCATACCCGGCTTGAGAAGAGACTTTTTAAGATCATGGCCCCAGGGCTGGAGAGATGGCTCAGCGGGTAAGAACACTGACTGTTCTTGCAGAAGATCCGGGTTCAAATCTCAAAACCCATGTGGCAGCTAACAACTGTCTGTAACTCCAGTTCCATGGGATCCGACAGCCTCTTCTGTCCAGGGGATCCGACAGACTCTTCTGTCCATGGGCATTGCATGACACGGGTGCACTTACCTACATGCAGGCAATACATGCATACACATAAAATAAAAAAATAATAAAATAAATTTAAAAAAATAAAGGTGTCACAAAAGAGAACTGGGCATGGTGGCGCACACCTTTAACTCCAGCACTCGGGAGGCAGAGGCAGGTGGATCTCTATGAATTCGAGGCCAGCCTGGTCTACATAGCGAGTTCCAGGAAAGGTGGGGCTACAAGGAGACCTTGTCTCAAAAAGACAAAAAACAAACAAAAAAGATAAACACTTAGCCCAGCTAACTAAAAGAAAGAAAGAGCAATCAAGGGGTGAAGCAATAGCCTAAGTCACTTTGTGAGTCTCTTGGACTACCCTGACCATCAGGTCAGAAGAGAGCGTTGGATCCCCTAGAACTGGAGTTGCAGATGGTTGTTAGCTGCCATGTGGGTGCTGGGACTAGAACCCAGGTCCTCTGCCAGAGCAGCCAGGGCTCTTAACCATTGAGCCATCTCTCCAGCCCCATTTTGCTTTCTTTATATGCTGGATTTAACTCTCTGTCAGATAAGCTGTCAGCGAATAGTCCCTCCTGGTCTGTGGGCCATGTCTTTGCTTTGCTGATTGTCGTGTGATCCCATTCATCAGTTTTGCTTTTGTGTTCTGTGCTTTTGGAAGCCTATCCAGAAACACCACCTGTGTCAGTATCTGAGATGTCTGCCTGTGTTTATGACTAGTGGCTTCAGAGTTTCAAGCCTGACGTTCAGGTCTTCCTTTGTTTTGTTGACTTTTTGTGCTGGGTGAGAGAGCAGTTGTGTCTGCCTTCTACATGTGGATGTCCAGTTTTCCCAGAACAGTTTGTTGAAGAGGCTGTCATTTCTCCAACCTGTGTTTGGCACTGTTCTAGTTGGCTTTCTGTGGCTGTGATAAAAATCAGACCGAAAGGAGCTGGGGGAGGAAAGGACTTATTTCACTGTACAATTTTCAGATCACTTCCCTGAGGGAAGCCAGGGCAGGAACTCAAAGCAGGAGCCTGAAGCAGAGACATGGGGTCTCTCTTTACGGCTGCTCTCTGCTCATGCTCAGTCTGCTTCCCTACACAGCTCGGGCCCATCAGCCTAGGGATGGCACTGCCCACAGTGGGCCAGACCCACCTACATCAATTAGCAATTAAGAAAATGCCCCACAGACATGGCCACAGGTCAGTCTGATGGAGGTGATACTTCAGGCGAGAATTTCTCCCCAGGTGACTCTAGGTTCATGTCAAGCTGACTGGTGAGGCTCACTAGGACAGGCACCTGTGTTAAGAATCAGTTGGCTGGGGCTGGAGAGATGGCTCAGTGGTTAAGAGCATTGGCTGCTCTGGCAGAGCACCTGGGGTTGATTCCCAGCATCCTCATGGTAGCTCATAACTCCAGTTCCAGAGGACCTGACACTCTCTTCTGACCTTTGTGGGCATTGCATGACACAGGTGCTCTACATGGATGCAGGCAAAACATTCTGCTCTGCAACTAAAAAAAAATCGGATCAGTTGGCTGTAGTTACAGGGTTTATTTCTGGTTCCCCACTTCTCTGCTGGTCTGCGGAGCTGTTTTTGTGACACAACCTGCTGTTTTGCTTCCTGTGGCTCCGTGGTACGCACACGCCTCCAGCTTTGATCTTTTGGCCTTTTTTGCACTTCCTATGGATTTTAGGATTTTTTTCCAGTTCTTTTAAGGTTGTCATTGGTATTTTGATGAGGATTGTATTGAATCTATAGACTGTATTAGGTTCCTTAACCAAACTGGATAAACAAATCTTAAAAGTTATATGGAAGCTAAAAGGGACCCAACCAGCCAGTGCGTCCCTGGGCCAACAGAGCAGAGCTGGGGAGTTTCTGATCTGGGTTTGTTGTGTTCCTGTTTGTCTGAGTCACTGAACGCATTGTTAGGTGGTGTGTTTGAATCCTGTTTCCTCTGTTTTTACGCAGGCGCTCATCACTGTAACCGCTCTTCCTTTGGCTCTGCCTGTGGGTTTTGGACCATTGTATTTTTTCTTTCTACATTTTTGAGACAGGGTCTCCCTGTAGTGCCAGCTGGCCTGGGAACTCACTGTGTAGAGCAGGCTGGCCTTGAACTCACAGAGATCCACCTGCCTCTGGGATTAAAGGCATGCACCATGCGCCCGGCTCTCTTCTTATATTTTTAATGACTTTTCAATGTAGCACACGAGTGCTGGGTTCATCATGGTGTCTTCATACTTATGTGTCATTGAACTTTGTTCTCATTCACTGCTGCCTCCCACTGCCCACCCACCCCCTCGGCTCCCTTCCCTCTTCCCAGCCCCCTCTGCTAGCTTATCATAGGTACATTGTATTTTCAGTTTCATTTTTTTCAAGGAGAATTTTAATTCTCCTTGGAGAAAAGGTGTGTTGTCCCATCTCCTCAGAGATACACAGTTTTAATCTCTCTGTATTAGATTATTGGTTCATTCCATCATGACCAGAAAAGATAAGGATATGATTTCATTTATATGAATTTGTCAAGACTCGTTTTGTGGCCTAATACACCATCCATTCTAGAAAATTCCACAGGCTGATGAACAGATGAAAAGACAGCATGTGTCACAGTGGCTCAGAAGCTGAGATCTGGAGCCAGCCTGTCTGCGCTTAGCCCTCCACTCTACCCTGGACATGCTACGACCTGGGTCTTTATCCTGTTTCCTTAGACAGTTGGAGACTATTAGAACACCTCACAGTACTATTAAGGAGATGAGTTACATTTAAAGCACTTAAGCTAGTCTGTACATAAAAGGTTCTCTTTATCTCTGCTCTGTTATTAACTTATCTTTAGAACAACCCATGTCATCTTCTATTGGACTTTTTTTTTGTTTTGTTTTGTTTTTGGGGTTTTTTGTTTGTTTGTTTGTTATTTCTTTTGTTTTTTGAGACAGGGTCTCCCTATAGCCCCAGCTGGCCCGGAACTCACTCTGTAGACCAGGATGGCCTTGACCTCACAGAGATCTGCCTGGCTACGTGTTAAACATTTTTCAAAAAAGATTTATTGTGGGGGACCAGTGAGATGGCTCAGTGGGGAAAGGAGTCTGCCGCACAGACCTGGAGACCTGAGTTCAGTCCTCAGTTCAAGCCCATGTAAAGGTGGAAGGAACCAACATCACAAAGTTGTCCTCTGACCTCCACATGCACGTGATGGCACATGTGCTCACACACATATTATGTACACACGTACAATAATAATATTTATTATGATGTCAGTCTTTCCAAATAGTACTAATTTAAACAATGTTTTTCCCTGATCCTCTGTGAGTCCAATTACAAGAAAATATTTTAGATCATTTCCATGAGGCTTTCCCTCTGATGTTTGGCTTTTAAATCACTTCTTCCGAGGGTGTGGAATATGTGTTACCCGTCTTCTGAGCTCGTGCTGCCTTTCGCTGTTTTCCCAGCCTCGTCAGATGTTCGAGCATATGATTTTTTCTAGTCTTTCACTCTGACGAGTCAGTTTGACAAGCTGTTTCGTAGGAATTTATTGCTTGGAATTTTTCTGAAAAGTGGAGTTTTTGAGTCAGCATTTATACCTTTTATTATAAGTGTTTCCAAATGTTCATAAACAGGTTTCTGTAGTCTGTGGTGAGAATATGTCTCTAGTCACTGTAATCACTGCCTACAGTAAGAGATTCACAAATTTCTTCATAATAACTAGGCGCTGTAGTACAGGAGTATAATCCGAGGCTGAGGCAGGAGGATCAGGAGTTTGAGGACAGCCTGGTCTACACAGTGACCTGTTTCAGAAAAAAAAAAAAGTGCATTCATAATAATCCAGTGTGCCTCTACAATTTTTAATTAGACCACAGAAAATTCCGTACCGTCCATTGCACTGGTTACTTGAGAAGCTGGCCTCCAAATGTCATCGGTGTGGAAGGAGAGAGGGACAGTGAGAGAGATGGCGATCATTTTACCTGCCTTGTTGCCATGGGTCGGTCACAGCCGTTTACTGCCCCTTGGAAGAATGGAGAGGTCAGAGTCAGACCCACTGAGTTCATAACCCGCTTTGCACTGAATGGGAAATTTGTCTACGTTGATCAAAGGTGAGCGTCCCTTGCTACAGTAATCAGACTCAGTGGGAGAGTTGAGGTTGTTAAAGAGGGAGAGGCTTGCCGGGCGTGGTGGCACACGCCTTTAATCCCAGCACTCGAGAGGCAGAGGCAGGTGGATCTCTGTGAGTTCAAAGCTAGCCTGGTCTACATAGTGAGTTCCAGAATAGCTGGGGCTACAGGGAGACCCTGTCTCAAAAAAAACCAAAAAAAAAACCAAAAAAAAAAAAAAAAACAACGGGGCGGGCGGGGCAAAGGCTTGCTAGCAATCCTGGATTTTTAAAACATAAAGGTTTCGATGCAGGATGTTGATTTTAAGTGAAACAAGGGTATGTTTGTAGTAGTGAATGTGGTCAAACCAGAAGTCACGCTTCGAAAAGTATTTCTTAGCCAGTGGTGCCATGCTGCTGGTGATGATGTAAAGGCATTTCCAGGACTGTGTGGGGCACTGCTGGGTGGTCTGTTTTGCAACTCTAGTTAGTCTGGGCCTAGGGAGGACCATGGCAGCCAGTGGTCCACATGAATGACTCATCTCCCAGACCACTGCCCAGAAATCTGGGCTGAGATGGATCTACAGTATTTGGGGAGCAAAACCTTCACTGATTCTCATATTTATTTTCCATTTTAAAACAGGGCCACAGCAATTTTAGGGTACCTGCCTCAGGAACTTTTGGGAACTTCGTGTTATGAATATTTTCATCAAGATGACCACAGTAATTTGACTGACAAGCACAAGGCAGGTGGGTAATTAACTGAGTGAGGTACTTTGGGAGTAATTTGAAATTACAACTTCTGTCAGGGGTGGTAGTTAGTACCTGAAATCTCTGCACTCATGAAGCAGAGGCAGGAAGATCTCAAGGCTCCAGGCCAGCCTGGAAGGCCAAACATGTTTGAGAAGCTCATGTATTCCTTATAGTCATCAGCTGTCCCAATTATGCTGAAAGTTTGACCTTTTGTAGCCAGACCCTGTCTTAATTAGTTAACTAATGAATTAAAATTTGTTATAGCTTCCATTCTCAATTTTCTCGCTCCTGTGAAATCTGAAATGTGAATGAATTCTGAAGGCACTGATTTTTGGTTTGGAGTTTGTTTTTGAGGCAGGGTCTCACTGTGGAGCCCTGGCTGCCCTTGAACCTGCAGCCTCCTGGGTGCTGGGACTGCAAGCATGTGCCACCACGCCCGGCCTGAGGCGCTGACTTTTCTAGCAGCAGGCTGCACTGCTGATGACATCTCTTCTTGTTAAGTTCTACAGAGTAAGGAGAAAATATTCACAGACTTGTACAAATTCAGAGTGAAGGACGGCTCCTTCGTAACTCTGAAGAGTCAGTGGTTTAGTTTCACCAATCCTTGGACCAGAGAGCTGGAGTACATCGTGTCTGTCAACACTTTAGTTTTGTAAGTCCTTTTCTGTGTTCTTAAGAACTTTATACCAATTTCAAACGAGTATGCTTTTCTTTTTTTAATATTTTACTTATTATTTTTATTATATGTATATGAGTGTATTGCCTGCATATGTGTAAGTGCACCTCTGTGGTGCAATGCCTGAGGAGGCCAGAAGAGAGTGTCGGGTTTCCCTGAAACTGGAGTTCCAGGCAATTATTAGCCGCCATGTGGGTGCTGGGAAGCGAAACCTGAGTCCTCTGTAAGAGCAGCCAGTGCTGAACCAGCTCCTGCTTTTCTTCTTCCTCCTCCTCCTCCTCCTCCTCCTCCTCCTCGGTCTTTTTGAGACAGGGTCTCCCTGTAGCCCCAGCTATCCTGGAACTCACTATGTAGACCAGGCTGGCCTTGAACTCACAGAGCTCCGCCTGCTTCTGCTGGGACCAAAGGCATGCGCCACCATGCCCGGCCTCTGAATTTCTTTTCTTAACAACCTATTAAAATTGTGTGGTCCTCTGGCTATATGATAGCTTAGTATCCTCAGGGGATGATGCCAGGACCCCTCACAGAGGTCAGAATCTTTGTGTACTTGGGCCTCTTATATAAAACGAAACGGCATTTGCATATAGCTCCTGCACAGCCCCACAGCCCCAGGATCATGTCTACATGTTTCAACACCTAGTACCATGGAAAGCTGTGTAGATAGTTGTTATACTGCATTGTTAGTGAGTAATGGAGGAAAACAGCCTGTACATGTTCAATCAAAATGCAGCATTTCCCCTGGGTGCTTTCAGTCCGCGGCTGGTGGAATCCACAGACCTGGAACCTGAGCCTGTGGCCAGCTGTGCTTGAGAAGTCCCTGTAGTCTTTACTGGCATTAGCTGTCCAATGACGCTGAAAGTGTGTTCTCCTGTACTGGGTTTCTTCTTCTATCTGATGATAAAGCCAGTATATTAGAAACGGCATACCGAGGAGCCCAGCACCTGCTACGCAGAGACAGAAGCACGAGAGGCTCACGACCATCCTTGGCTACCTAGAGAATCAGAGACTAGCCTGGTCTACACAGGACCCTATCTCCAAAAAGAAAAGACTAGTTATTCACTTTAAGTTGGGTGTGTGGCTTAGTGGTATAACATTGGCCTAACATGTAAAAGATCCTTTGTTCAATCCCTAGCACTGCAGAGAGAGAGAGAGAGAGAGAGAGAGAGAGAGAGAGGAAAATCCCAGTGTGTGGGTGTGTATGTGAGAGAGAGAGAGAGAGAACGAGAACAGGTGTGGTGGTACACACCTTTGAACCCAGCACTCAGGAGGAAGAGGCAGGTGGATCTCTGAGTTCCAGGCTAGTCAGGGCTACATAGTGAGATCCTGTCTCACCAAAACAAAACAAGTGTCTTCTAAGCCTGTGTACCACTTGGAACTGTGCACAGCCCAGCCAAAGCGTGAGCAGAAATCCAGCCAATGTTTACAGAAAGAAGAGCTGGCTTTTCCTGACTGGCTTTAAACACTAGCATGGCCCTGTGCTAAGCTTTATTGCTTGGCTGAGGTGTAAAGCTTTATAACACCAATTTGAGTTGCTTAGCTGTAAACTTTAGTTTAAAAGGCACTGAAAGGTTAGAGCCTCCGGCTCCCTGTCAGCTTCCCTTACACACCTCACCTTCTTATACCAGGCTGGGAGCTGGGCATCAACACTGTGAGAACTCCTGCTGTACAGGGGAACTGGGAGTCTGGCATGGACCCCAGCGTTTCACACATCGGTAATCCGGATCTTTGCCGCTGATATGAACAATAAATTGCAAACCAGCTGGGAACTGACAGATCAAACCATAGGAGCCGGTGTGGATGTAACAATTCCCCTCACCTTAGGGAACCTGTGCTGTTTCTGACCCACAGGGGACACAGCGAGGCAGGAGAAGCATCCTCACCTCACACCAGCTCTCAGTCCTCGGAAGGTAAGCTTGAGTTTCAGAGGTGGAAGATTTATTACTCAGATCTGTCAAAACACTGTTATTCCGGAGGTACAGTTGTCATCTCTTAGAGAGGGGAATTAGAAGATATTTTAGGTTGATATGAATCATGTTTTTGGTTCTAGAAGTAAGACACCAGGGTCGGGCAAGGTGGCTTAGTGGGGACTTGCTATGCAAGCTTGGTGATCAGAATTCACACCCTGGAACACACATAAAGGTGAAGCAACTCCACAAACTTGTCCTCTGACCTCCACCACCACCACCACACACACACACACACACACACCCATGTCAATTCCTTTTGAGGTAACAAATGCTAACAATCCAATGTTTATCCTTTCACATCTTTTCATGGCTTATCAGTGTTACAAGAATCTATACAAACCAGAGCTGTATTCTTGCATATGTTTTGCTTTGACAAAAAGCAGTCATACAACACACATTGCCACACATATATTAAAAAATTTAATAGCAAGCCAGGTGTGATGGTGCATGTCTTTAATCCCAGCACTTGTAAGGCAGAGGCAGGCAGATCTCTGTGAGTTCAAGGCCAGCCTAGTCTACATAGCAGGTTCCAGGCCAGCTGGGGCTACAGGGAGACCTCTTATCTGTTTGGCACAGACTGGCCTGCCTACTGCACTGGTAAGTCAGTCCCACCCACTGCATCTCGATTCCCCCTGCAGCCTGAGCACCTCCAATCTCTGGGATCCACATGGTGGGAGAGAGTCTTGTCTTCTGACCTCCATGCATGTGGCCACCACATCATGCACATACATAATAGTAAATAAATAATAGGAGACTAAGTTCAAAGGGGACCTGGATCCCAAAGGAGTGCCCCAGGAGTGCTCCAGTGTTCCCTCGAGCGTGACACAGCTCTTGGGCTCCCACTTCTGTTATATAACATAATTCCACATGCAAGTAGCTACCGACTCATCTGGTTTCACATTGGTTGAGTTGTTTGTGAGTAGGACTGTGATTTACAGTGTTTCCATCCTCCCTAGTCCAGTGCTCTCATTGGATAAAAAGAGACAAGCCAGAAGGGGAAGTTTTTACATCTCTGTTAGTTTTGTTTTGTTTTTGTTGTTTTAACCACAGGGATGTGTTCATATAGAAAATGCACAAATAAATTTTTTTTAAGTATCTGAGTGTGATGGTGACACACACTTGCAATGTTAGTACTTGGGAGGTAGAGGCAGGAGGGTCAGAAGTTCCAGGCCAGCCTCAGCAACTTGAGACCCTGACTTTAAAAAATCTACAACCCCAAATTAGGAAATATGAATAATAAAGTGGGATTTCCCTGATTCTGCTGTCAGGATGAAAGGGGAGAGAACCTCCTGGAGGTCATGGGTCATGACTGTGTGTGGCACGGGTCTGACTGTGACCACAGGGTCTCCGAGGTTGGAAGCTTTCACATTTTAAGATGCTTCTTGCCAGGCGTGGTGGCGCATGCCTTTAATCCCAGCACTCAGGATGAGGGAGGCAGAGGCAGGCGATCTCTGTGGTATCCAGGCCAGCCTGGTCTACATAGTGAGTTCCAGGCTGGCTGGGGCTCCAGGGAGACCCTGTCTCAAAAAGACAAAGAAAAACGAAGAAGAGAACTGGGAAGTTACGGGATCTTAAGGAAGCCACTAACCAGGGCTGTGTGCTCTCTAACAACCTTGAGTTTTGTCTTGTGCCTAGATTCCTCAAGACAGTTCTGCGTCAGCGTGCCTGACACATCCGCCAGGAAGGTGCCCGGAGCTGGTAACATCGGAGCAGATTTTGCAAATGAAGTTCTGAGTTCACAGAGGTAATATTTCATCACTATAAATATCTCACAAGGAAGGCATTGTCATATTCACAAAACCAGTCCACAAAGACCAGGAGTTTCCCTGTATGAAAACAGCACCCAGTATAAGAACAGCGGAAAAGACTGATGGTCACTTTTTAATTTTAATTTTCCATTATTCATCTCCGGGGGGGGGCGATATGTACAGGTGCCCAGGGAGGCCAGAGGCGCCAGATCCCTGGACTGGCGTTCAAATTGTGAGCTTCCCGATATAGGTGCTGGGATCTGAACTTAGGTACCACTGCAAGTACCACTGTTCCTCTAGTCTCCATCACTTTTATAGTTGTACGTGTATACACGCATGCACCTGTACACACACACACACACACACACACACACGCTAATTAGCATGCATATACACAAACATGCAAAAAAGATAATGCTGAGAACTTTACCATTTCCGAGAGGGAGCACTAGGTGAGGATATTAGTGTCTCTTAAGTTAATGTGTGAATTCATTGTGAATCCTGTCAGAACATCACAGTGAATTTGTGTTTTGGAATTTGACAAATTATACAAACCACATTAAAATAACCAGTAAACTTCTGAAAAGAAAAGAAAAAAGTAAAGTAAAACTAATCCTATCAGATATTAAAATAAGTCACAAAGTTATAGGTACTAAACCATTCTGGTACAATCCATCAATGTGCCAGTATGGAAGATCACAAAATAGAATAAAAGTTGTGTGGAAATCTACTGTATAGTAAGATTGAATTTTAACTCATTAAGTGGGAAAGAGTTAAATAATAAACGGCAGTGAAGTAACTGCAGAAAAAAAAATAAACCTAAATCTGTTTGGGAGAAAGAAGAAAGTTAGGCTTCTACTTTAGTCTTTACACTAAAATAAATTCCAGACCAATCAGAGCTCAAAGTAAAACTAAAATTGTAAAAAATATTTCAAGAACCAGATAATGAACTTTATTGTATTTATTTATTTTTGTTTGGTGTTGTTTGAGACAGGGTCTCTCTATAGCCCCAGGTGGCCAAGAACTTGCTATGTAGACCAGGTTGACCTGGTCTCACAGAGATCCACCTGCCTCTGCCTCTGCTTGTATTAAAGGCATTTGCCACCATGCCTGGCTCAGATAAGGACTTTTATAATCTTAAATTGGCAAATTGTTTCTTTTTAAAAAAAATTTACTGAGAATTTCATACATGCATATAAAGTGTTTTGATCAGATCCACGCCCACTCCCTCCCTCCAACTCCTCCTGGATCTCCCCATCACTTTTTTCTGATAATTTCTTGTAGTGTTCCTTCCCTTTTTTAATGGGGCTTTTGGCTACTCTAACATCCTCCCTCTGAAGAGTTAACTCTAAAATCTTTTAAGAATCATATAAAAGCTCCCAAATACTTTTGACATTTTTGGTCTTTGGAACTGAGTATGTTGCCAAGAGGCCCAAGGACCTTTTACTTTTAGCCAAGGAACTGGCTACTTTTCTTTGGGGTCTTTTTACACCAACTGCCTAGCCAATTCCTACCTCCTATTCTTATCACACCATCCTACGCAGACTGTTCTGGCTTCTTCCATGCTGAACAGGGACGTAGGGTGAGCCAATTGGGGTACCCCTTCAGTGGTCTATCTAAAAGACTCCCACATTGCATAACTCTTACCTCAAGGGGGAAAAGAAAGTCCTTGAGTCATGAATGGGAGATGTGAAGAATTAAGGCAAGAGTAATTAGCATTACAAGTTCTAGACAAGGAACTAGAAAAAAGAACGGGGCAATTTTCAAATGTTCATATTTGAGTCCATTGGAATTTCGTGACAAGGGCTTCCAAAAGCATCCCTCTATTGGGTTCCTCCTCATTTTTCTTTTGTCTTCCAAGGCTGGACTCGAGAGTGATGGATTCAGTATTTTCTTTCAGGTGTTTTGACAGCTGTTGGAGTGGTTAGAATCAGTGTCAGTTCCCTTTCAAAGGCTTCTGGATAGGGGGAGAAAACTAATTTATCCATCATTATAGAACAGTAGCTGGTTGTCTCCCTTAGCTACAGGTGGGCACTGCAGTATTGGAGACCAAGATCTGAAGTCTTACATCTGAGCAGCACTTTCTGCTTAGAAACAAAATCATCAATGAGAAATAATTGTCTACATAACATTTTATATGGACTTAAGCCTAATGTCTGGGAAGTATAATCCCTTGAACTCTTAAAGAAATATCACTTTATTCTTTGTGTATATTTTCCTTTTGGATGTTTAAGACAATACAGTTGGCCCAAATAAACCAAC